TTAAATTTTTTTAAGACAGGCTCTCACTAAGTCCCTCAGTCAGGTCTCAAACTTTGGATCCTCCTTCTGCGTAGCTGGGACTGCAGGACACAAGGATTACAGGTGTGTGCCATAGCATCTAATTTCTACTAAACTTTTCATAAATACTTTTTAAAAAGTTGGAAGAAATCTCTGCACCAAAATGCCACACTCTACTGGCGCCTCGTTTTGCTTTGTTTTAAATCAATCTGTGTATAAAGTCCTTTCAGCTAGGATGTAGTTCAAAGGTAAGACTTGGCCTAGCATCTGTGAGGCTCTGGGTTCAATACCCAGCATCGCAAAAAACAGAAAAAATTCTTTCACATAAATGATCTAACTCTACTCATAGAATTAAGAATTATCACTGGGTGTGGCGGCACACGGCTGTTTAACAGCGACTCGGTGGGGTGAAGCAAGAGGACTGCAATTCGAGGCCAGCCTGGCAAACTTAGTGAGACCCTGCCTCAAAAAAYAAAAAGGGTACAGTATTCAGTGGTAGAGCACCCCGGCTTCAATACCCAATACCGAAAACAAAGCTCTGAGTGAAGTAAGAAAAGCTGAGGAAGACAAGCCTCAAGCCCTTTCTCCTTACGAGAAGCGGATAGGGCAGGCATCAAAGTCAGGAAGCACAAACGGAGCCTGACCACCCAAACCACTGCGAGGAGCAGAGCCGAGAGCGAAGAAAGCTGCTCCACGCAGAACAGCCTCCAGAAAGCACCTAGCTGTTGAGGGGCTTCGGAAACGGACTTGGAGGAGGAGGAGCTGGGGTACACAGCCAGAAACGACAGGAAACCGCAGGCAACATTCAGAGCGTTCCTAGCAAATGCCGCGGGCACAGCTCATGACTCGATAGAGGGTGGCCAACATGGCGGCGCGTCACGTGAGTAGCGCAATGACGCACACTGCGGCCCGCACGGAGGCCCCGCCCAGCCTCACCCCCCACGCACACTTGCACTGAGTTTTGCCCCCCTCCCCTGCCCCCTGCTTGGTGTAGATCATGCCGCCAGTGGCGGCCCTGACTGCCGAGAAACGGTAGCTTAGGACAATTGGCTGTTGAGTGACACTGATTCTCCCTGCCCCGCCTGACCCTGAGAAAGAAGCACGTCCCTCGCCTCGAAAGGGGGGTGGGGAAGTGGGTAGTGAATTCGGATCCACTTGGGAGGGGGGAGTGGAAGTTCCCGCCCCGGACTGCAGCGAGGCGGCAGCCACAGGTAAGTGGGGGGCGGGGTGGGACGAGCGCCCCTGGCCCGGGGCGGGAAGGGCGCGGGAGCGCAGGAGCGCGGAGCCGGCGGGATTCTGAGCCCGTCGCGTGCCGAGTGGGGGTCGCGCGCTGGCGGCTCCGGTGGGGGAGGGGCGCGGCGGAAGGGGGAGGGGCTGCGTGGGGGCCCGGAGGAGTGCGCTTCCGGCCCTCGCGCCTTTGCTGTGCGAGGTGTCCTTTCAGTGGTTGGTCTCCTCCCTGCCCTCGGCCCCAAATGAAAATWAAGCCAAGAGTTTGGTGCCGCAGGCGGTATTACCCTAGAGGCCCGCCTTCTGCGGTCGGAGGCCGGAGGTCGCGGTCTTGGGCTAGCAACCGGGGAGGGCAGCGTAGCCTTGGTGCGGTGTCCGTTCTCGGCCCGTGTGTGCCTGCCCTGGAGGACGAGAACTGTCATCCCTCAAGCAGCTTACAATCTAGTGGGGACGCAGTTAGTGCCGTAATCGAACCGTGTTGGAAGGGTGCGGCTGATGGGCAGGAAAGAGAACAGGTTTTTACGTGGCTGGCACTGACAAAAAGTCGTTTGTTTCCCGCCTGGACGAAGGGCAAGCCGAGGACACTTTTCTCTGATTTTTTTTTTTTTTAATCATAAAGCAAGGACTAGGAATATGGCTTAGTGATAGATCACTTGCCTAACATGCTCAAGGCTCTGGGTTCAATCTCCAGTACTGTAAAAACAAACACATAAGGAAAAGTGAAGCCTGGTATTTGTCAGCTTCAACTATGCCTTGGAGCGTGAAGCGTAATCACTGAAATTATCATGAATGTTAAATAATGTTTGCTAGTTTTGTCAGCATTTGAAGAGCGTTGGGCCAATAGTTTTTTAGGGCATTTAACACTTCTAAGGCCATTTCAGTGCAGTTCTGGTAGGGATCATTGTTAAACTGGCCTCACCTATGAGAGTTTGTACAGTATTTTATCCCGAGACACTTGCTATTAACAGAATATGCGTTTTAGTAAAATGCTGGATTTCTTCCTGTCGACTTTACAATGTACCTTTTAGTTAAAATCCASGGTTCCGAGTTGAATGTGATAGCTCTTTAACCTTGTTTGGTTTGATATATCTGTGCAATACTGCTGTATCCCCAGTAGGTGGTAGTCCTTTCAAAAATGCCTTTTAGTTATGTCATCTCATTATAATGAATTTCCAAAGCAGGGCGTGATATGGCTGCAACTTTTCTTGTGCTTTAATTGCCCCGTTTCTAAAGGTGGGGTGAAGTAATCCTCTAAGAATATTTCTCTAGCCATTGTCCTATTAGTTTTAAATCAGTATTTCCAAGTAAACAAGGAAATAAAGGAAAAAAAAACATTCAACGTTAATATGAGATTATTATTGCTATCCTAGGAACAGGCKGTGGTCTTTGATTTCCTAGGACTTAACTTTCTGCTAGGGAGACAGAAAATTACTGCATTACAATACTGTGATAAGTGCTATAAGAAGAAGGGGAACATATGCTGTCTTGCTTATTAGCATATGTGCAAGACACTGTAAACATTAAGAGGAACCTGGAGCAGTCAGGAAAGATTAATCGAAGGGTATTCCTGGTACTCTTGGAAGAGAAGCAATACTGAATAAAAGAACACAGAGACTTCCGATTAATACAGTTCTAGCTTCAGGTCTTTCATTCACATCCATAGCAAATTAATTTCTTTGAACCTTGATTTGCACATCTCTAAAACAGGAAATCCAGGATGACATTTAAAAACTCTTAGGTGGCCAAGGATGTAACTCAGTGGTAGAGTGGTTGCCTAGCCTGCACAGAGCCCTGCATTTGATCCCCCAAACTGCTGCAAAAAAATTATAAAAACCCTATAATTTGATGCCTATCTTATAATGTTCCTTTCTTTGCAAGTTTTCTTAAGAGTGCCCTTTTWAAAAATATTTTTATTAGTTGTTGATGAACCTTTATTTTATTTATTTATATGCGGTGCTGAGACTCAAACCCAGTGCCTAACACATGCTAGGCAAGCACTCTGCCACTGAGCCACAAYCCCAGCTCCAAGAGTGCCCTTTCTTATATTCTCTGAATCTATGTTTTACTGCCCCCTTGTGATTCTGCCCTGTTTGGATAAGCTTTCAGCTGCAGCTTGGAACTTGTTTTATTTTTAGAGAAAATGCTTTTTAGTCAGGTTCTCTGTCTCAGCAGCTTGGGAGGCTGAGGTAGAAAAATCACAAGTTTAAGACCAGCCCCAGCAATTTAATGAGACCCTGTTTTAAAAATTAAAAATTTAAAGGTCTGGGATGTAGCACCCGGGTTTCAATCCCTAGTACCCACCCTGCCCCAAATGTTTGTACACATAAAGTTTCTTCTGTTAAACATTTTTTTTAAACATTGTTAATTTTAACCTCAATTTTAGGAATATTAGTTAAGAAAAAGTGAGCATGTAGTGGCTTGGGAAGCTGAGGTAGGAAGATCYTCAGTTTAAAAGCCAGCCTCAGCAAAAGCAGGATGCTAAGCAAATCAATGAGACCCTGTCTCTGAATAAAATATAAAATAGGGCTGGGGATGTGGCTCATTGGCCTAATGTCCCTGAGTTTAATCCCTGTACCACACCCCGCCCCCCCCACACCAAAAAAAAAAGTGAGCAAATAAAGGTTAAGCTGTGATAATTTCAATAAAACATGTGAGCATGTGGTTTATAATAAGATRAAACCATAAGGCTGTGTTTAGGAAATGGTAGAATGATAGGAGAGATTATTTATGACATGATAGAAAATAGGTTATCTTCTTTTAGAAGACTGAGAAGAAATCAGTATTTTTAATTTATTAAAAAAAATTTTTTGGTACTAGGAATTGAATGCAGYGGCACTTAATTAGTAAGATACATCCCTAACCACCCCCACCTACTTTTTTTGTTGTTGTATTTTTTATTTAGAGATAGGATCTCACTGAATTGCTTAGGGCTTTGCTAAGACGCTGAGGCTGGCTTTGTACTCAGGATCCTCCTGCCTCAGCCTCCTGAGCACTGGGATTATAGGTGTGTGCTGCCACACCTGGAATTGATTAAGATTTGCCATTCTTTTTTTCTTTCTATTATAAACTTTCCAAGTTAGAAAAAAGGGGAAAAAATTAAGAGGGAAAAATTAAAGCCACTTTATGCATGAGGTGATTTTATGCATTTTATCTTTCTTCTTAAAATTTTTATTTCTTTGACTGGGGACTGAACCATGGGGTGCTTTACCACAGAGCTACATTCCCAGTCATTTTTTATGTCTTATTTCAAGACCAGATCTTGCTGAGTTGCTGAGTATCTCACTGAGTTGMCTAGGCTAGCCTTGAACTTGGGATTCTCTTGCCTCAGACTCTGGAGTTCCTAGGATTACAGTTGTGCACACCATGCATGGCTTACTGCATCTTTTTTTCCAATGACTAAAAACAGTAGCTTCAATTCAGACATTAAAAAGGAATTTGTTTTCTGACTTCAAAAAACAAAAGGAGGTAAAAAGAATATGTATGTAAGCTTAAACTTCACAGTTAAGTTGGTAATACTAAGAGGCATATACCTAGATTTGCTATCTCAAATTTTTAATTGTGTATACTACTCATAACATAAAATTTAACATTTTGAAATGTAAATAATTCAGTAGTGTTATGTATATTCACATGGTTGTACAATGTGTGTGAAAAAGTTTTCCAGAACTTTTTCATGCCCATTAAGCAACCCTCCATTTCTTCACCCAGTCATTGGCAGTCTGATTTAAAACTACTCTAGATAGCTCATATGAGTGAAGTCACAGTGTTTATCTTTTTGCAACTGGCTTATTTCAGTTAGTATAATGTACCCAAAGTTCATCCATATGGTAGCATGGTCAGAATTTCCTTATTTTCTAAACTGAATAATACTTTGTTGCAAGTACATACACTTTATTTATCCATTCATCCATTGATGAACATTTGGGATGCTTCTACCTTTTGCTTTCACCTATTGTGAATAATGCTGCTATGTGTATGCATAAATATCTTTTCAAGACCCTGCTTTTTTTTTTTGGTGGTACTGGGAATCAAACCTATGGCCTTGTAGTACTTGCTAGGCATATGTTCTGCCATTGAACTGCATCCTCAGCCCTTTTGATTTTTAATTTGAGACAGGGTCTCGCTAAGTTTCCCAGTGGGCCTCCAATTTATAATTCTCCTGCCTCAGCCTCTCAAGTTGCTGGGATTACAGGCCTGTACCATCATGCCTGGCTTGCTTTCAAACTCTGGATATGTACATACAGAGGGGAAAATGCTGAGTCATTTGGAAATTCTGCTTAGTTTTTTGAGGTGCCTCYGTATTGTTTTCCATAACAGCTGGACCATTTTTCACTTCTAAAGTACAATTTTAGTTTCTCCATATCCTTGCCAATATTTGTCACTTTTTTCTTTTTGTTTTTATATTAGCCATTTTAGTAGATGTGAGGTGGTATCTTATTGTGGTTTTGCTTTTTTATTTCTCTAGTGATAATGATTATGATGTTAACTGTCTTTTCATATACTTGCTAACCAGCTGTTTTTTTAAATATCTTTGCATATAACCATAAATACCTTACATTTTACTCAGATCTTTTATCAATCTCTCTCTCTCTCTCTCTCTCTCTCTCTCTCTCTCTCTCTCGGTAATTCTGGGGATTGAACTCAGGGGCACTTGACTAATTTAAATCAGCCCTATTTTTGTATTTCATTTAGAGACAGGGTCTCACTAGGTTGCTTAGTCCCTCTCTTTTGCTGAAGCTGGCTTTGAACTTACAATCCTCCTGTCACAGCCTCCAGTGCACCAGTTTACCAATCTCTTTGTTAGTGGTTCTCCTACCACTTGACATAGTCAGTCTCTTAAATTTACATATTTTCGTTCTTACCCTGTTTGCATATCTTGCAGTTGATTATTTTGACCATCTAGATCTTTAGAAACTCCTTAGGAATGGTTTTATTTATTTATTTGTTCAATTTATACTCAATACATTGTTTACATGAAACTATGTATGCAATTAGAAACTATTCCCTAGCTTGTATTAAGGAGTATATGTATTCATGAACATACACATTCTGAGTGGGTAACATTGAAAATTTAGTCATATTATGCTATTTACTAAATTTAAACATGTACTTAYGTGTGTCAGAATTCAGAAAATTTAAAATAGTATGCAAGGAATATCTCTTTTTTATATACTGCAGCTTTCAGTTCCCTTTCATGGTGGCAACCAAATGATGAGTTTTACATGTTTATATAGTATGAGATAAGTATTTCGTAGCATTTTTTATTTTAACTGACTTTTTTTCCTTTTAGTTGATTATGGAAGATTCCCACAAGAGTAACACTTCAGAGACTACACCTCAACCTGGTTCAGCAGTTCAGGGAGCTCATATTTCTCATATTGCTCAACAGGTAAGGCAAGGACCAAAGTTAGGAATATGTTGTATGAAAGTTATTTCAGATATTTTATTACTAATCTTCAGAAAAAGAACTAGACAAGAAAAGACTTTAAAATGTTGAAATATAAAGAGGAAAGGTGGATTTGATTTAAATCTCTTGTCAAAGACAATTTTTTTTTTTCAGTAGTACTGGGCATTGGATCCAGTGGTGCTCTRTCCCTGAGTCATAACCCCAGCCCTTCTTAAAACTTTTAGAGACAGGGTCTTGCTAAGTAAGTCACACAGGCTGGCCTCAAACTTGTAATCCTCCTGTCTCAGCTTCCTGAGTCTTGGGTTACAGTTGTGTGCCACCACACTCGGTTAAGACCAATTGGTTTTATTTTATTTTATATAAAGTATATTTAGAGTTGTTTTACGATGGACTTCTCAAAACCTAGAGCAGTAGATTTCATGTAGGAGAATTCTACCTACATGAAATGGAGGTAGAATTTCATGGAGAACAATGATTTAGAATATTTTCTAATTTGTAACATCAGAAAAATGTGATTATTTGACTTTTGTACTAACTTGAGACACAGACTAATGGTTTCAAGAGGTGAATCATCTTCATTTCAACAGATTTATCCTGGCTATATTGGAAATTTATTTATTTATTTGTTTTGTGGTACTGGGTCTTGAACTCAGGGGTACTCTACCACTGAGCCCTTTTTGTTTTTAATTTTGAGACAGGTTCTTGCTAAGTTGCCAAGGCTAGCTTTGAATTTGCCATCCTCCCGTCTCAACTTTCTGAGTCTCTGGGATTTATAGGAGTGTGCCATTCTGTCTAGCTTAAATTTTTTTTCCTTTAAATTTTTTTTTTTTT